GCAGCTGAAGAGAAAGGGGCTATAGAGGAGAGAAATGTGCAGATGGGCTGACAAGGTGTGGTCAATGGGTCTGGAGGATGAAGGGTTTGGAGATGCTGCATGGGGGTATGGGAGGATACTATCCTGTTTCTGCTCTGTCTGCAGAAACGAGCCCCACAGCTCTGGGGCTCCTCACTGAGTTTCCTGCTCCTGGATGTATGAATGGCCAGCCTCACCTTGTCGGGAGGAGGAGAAGGTTATTCTTCAGTTTATCTGAAGAAATGCGGGAAGAAGCAGAGGCAAAACCCCAGCAAGAAGCTCTGGAGGAGCCAGAGGAGAAATTAAGTAGATTGAGCCTTACCTGCTCTGGACAGTAAGGTGTCCCACCTGAGCACCCAGGACAACAACATGGCATTTCATTTATATCAACTCGTTGGCATCGACCTCCTAAAACCATATTGAAATAAACGCTTGATTTCTGTTTTCAGTTCTACTATGTGAGATAACGTTACAGTGAAGAAGGCTCTAGGCCACTTCTAAGAAACAGACACTGCTTGGAAACAGTCTAGTCAGACCACTTCTTGCTGACTTATTAAATACCACTGCTGAGGTGAGAACACCTCCATTCTTCTCTTAATGCTTTTTATTTGAACAGTGATGAGTAGAAGAAGCACTTACTTCCCTCAGCCCCAGTCTGAGGAATCACTGCCAGTTACTGGACCACCAATGAAGTTCTCTGGAGCGCAACACTGATCGTTGACTTCACAGGAAGCCAGTATAGTTGCAGTTTAAGATTGTATTGCTTAGTCTTTTCTCACCATTCCAATTAAGACAGGAAGGGTGTATGTCTGGGAAATGAATCTGCAGAACGCTCAGCTGCACTCACCACTGTGGTCCTTGGATAACTGAGCCAGTAGTACCTCATCATGGAGAAGACTAATGACCTACAGAATTGAGCACTGTTGGAAAGGGGCAGTTTTTCAGATATTAGCATCTCATCAGCATGGCCACCTCTTCTTATTATCTTTTTCTCAGTATTTGAAAGTGCACCTTTGACAGCTGCAGGGAGATTTCAGCATTCACAGGTAATGTTTAAGGTAGGGCTTCCTGAGAACAAAACAGTTTTATTAATTAAATGGACATAGGACTGTTACCTTCTATGGAAGACATTATCATTAAACTTTTTTTTACTCTCCGAGGCAAGGTAGCCACATCCAGATCACGTGCTGAGACTTGTCTTTGGCCCATGTTAACTTCTCAGCTATGCACAGAAATCACTTGGGGCAAGGGCTGCTCAGCCATAACTTCAACCACACTGAAACTCATGATCAGTATGATCCAATTCCCCAGAATTACTGCAGGAATAATGTTGGGAAATATGTAGCTATACAGACATTATTAAAAAAAAATTAAAAAAGCCCAAACAGAAGTTTGTTATAGAGGTCCCTGATAGCCCCAGTGATATGCAACCTAGAATCTTTAGGAGGGTATTCCCTCTGGCCTTTGCAGCAGTGTTAAATAATGGATGCCAGACTTAACATTGAACTGAATATTTTAAGCAGTGTTACTGACAGAAAGAGACCTGCATTTGGCAGACCAGGCATACTGCTAAAATGCCTGTGGAAGAGGAATTTCTTTGCACTTGCTGGACCAGGACCCAGCTGGATGTGCAGTACTGATGTGAATGGTCAATGTGGCATCTCCTAGATTCTGGTATCACTGAGCTTGTGCATTTGACTCTTGACTGACTCTATCTTTTATAGGTTTTCCTTGAAGCTTGCTCTGCTCTAACTGCACACAAGACAAATAGTCTGCTGCTAAAATGAGATGAGCACGCGTTGGTCCCCAGCAGTCTGGCGCCTGTTCTCTTGCCGGTGGTGGGAGGAGCAGAAAACAAACCAGTCTCAATGGCAGCAGAAAAGCTTCTGGGGAAATCTAAAATCATCTATTCCGTGTGTTTTGTTCACCACAGCAACCAGCTTAATTATGTCTTTAAAGCCTTTGTCTCCCCCAGCTCCTTCCCTTCCTTCCCCACCTGAGGAGCCCAGCTGACCCATCTGGGGGTGCCCACCTCTGCAGCGGCAGCTCGGGGGGGTTGGGGCTCAGCAGCCGCTTCCAGTGACCCGCCTGCTCCGCTGCTATTTCTGTGTACTGCGGCTCCGGGGAGCCTCCTCTGTGCTCTTCACAACTGTCTCGGCCCCATGGCTTCACTGTAATTTATGGACCCGTGGATTTTTTGAGCTTTTAAAAATAATTCCAATCGGAGGGGTTTGTTCTGGCTCCAGCTGAAGCCGGCAGCAAGGGCTGTGGGAGTTGGTGTTAGGAGCAGAATCGAGATGCCATTGCCTTAGGAGTGGCTTGATTTGAGCAGGCAACTTTAATTTCCCTTCCAAATACTGAGATTTCCCCCTCACCTCCAAGTCATCCAAGACCGGACGACGCTTGGCCGTGTGGCAAAGGGGGAGAGGAGAGGCAGGAAGTGAGGGTTTGTTCGTTTACCGTTACCAATCCCATTGGAAACCGGCTCCAAGCCCCAAGCAGAATTCCAGTAAAACCCTGTCCTAAAGGGGAAACCCAGGGCCATTCAAAGCTTGTGTTTTGTTGGCTCAGGCACAGCGTGCTTCTAGGGCCTTTGACCTACTCCCCGTACCCTGGCTCCCTCCACAGCTTTTTGTTTGAGCTCTCTGTGAAGTGGAATCCATCACTAATGTCTGATATTTTTATTATTTGTAGGGGGAACTCATAGAAGCTGGTAGCAATTAGAGCTTAAACGTCTTGGAATAAAAAAAAAAAATCTCCAAGAAGGAAGTTTAATGCTAAGCAGATGTGCAAGAGCAGCTGAAATATGCTAGCTGTCTTCTGCTTCAGAAGCAACCTCATCCACATCTAGCTGCTGTCAGGCTGGGGCAGCTGAGAGGTGCTGCTGCTGCTTTTATGCTGCTGCTTGGGCCTGGGAGCTCATGCTGGGGACCTGTGGGACTGTTTACTGGTTAATACTTAGATTGCCCTTTTATCCTCTCTTAGACCAATGGTTTTGGCAAGGAGATAAAATACTTTGTTTAAAAAGAAATCTAAAAAATAAAATTATAGTAGCCAACCGAAATGGTTTCTATGGTTAGTTTGATTCCTTGAGATCTCACACAGGGTGTTTGTAGATACAGGTATTGCAGAGCAAGGTTTAAACTCTCTTTTTGGGTAGACAGATCCCTCTTCATTTAGTTGTTGGCTGTCTCAGCCTTTGCTGCCAGCTTGGATTGGGGCAAACTGAAATCTTGCCAGTTGTTCCTGCAATAGATCTTCTGCTTTATTTATCGCTGCCATATTCAGGTTCTTCTGTCTGGAAAAAGATCTGACAGCTGACTGAAGTTCATAATCCTGTTCCTGAAGGCAGTGGAAGTCTATTCAAAAGCTAATAGACAAGTTGCTGACAACAACTCCTTCACACCCTTTCCCGTGCGTGCCCCAAGTCTGTAACAGAAACATGCTATATATTCCCTCCATGAGCTAGAGCACAAGTTATTCTGCCAGATGATTTCCTGTTGTACTCTACCAATGCAGAGTCTTTTTTCTTTTTTTCTTAAATGGTAATCCAAAGTAAATTATTGTAACTTACCACGGCATATTTTGTACTGTATTGTGACAGTGCAGTGCATGGGTTTGGGAGTTGGTTGGAAGACATTAGGTTTTTCTCCAGACTGCCACTACTGAGAACTTACTGAAGAGAAAGCATAACACCAGATCCAGGTGAATTTCATTTTTTTGAAAATTGTATGCTTGATTTAAAGAAAGGATTTCAAAACCTCACCATTCCCTTAGCGCTGAGGAAATGCAGCAACGTGTTTCTTGGACCTCTGGTTTCCAGTGGGAAGGTTTGAAAGCTGTTTCTTATGCAGTTATGTACATGCTAGGAATCTATTACTGATTTTTTGGCCATCTTGATAATATACTGCAGGTCAAAAGACAGTAACAAGTTAAATAGACAAGGCCACCAATATAGTTTGCCCCTCTCTCCAAGTAATTGAAGAATGATCTTTTCTGCTTGTTAAACTGATGGGTCCAGAACTGGGTTCCACATTGCAAATGATTTTTTTTAAAATTACATTTTGGAATTGTTCTTAGCCTATCATAAATAGGATGTTCTTAGCTTATCATAAATACTTATAATTTCTTCTCTTAAATAATGAGTAACAGCTGTCCTTATCTCCCTCATCACATAGAAGAGGAATATTTGCTGGTTTTTATTTTGAAATGGAGGTATACCTGCTAACTCTTAACATGCTTTTCTAGTGTATTCAAACAGAAAACGCCACCACTTAACATTTGAAGATTATTCATAGAATCTCAAGCCTAGTATTTACACCTTATTTCATGGAGGGCAAGGGAAATCTTTTGGCCTTGTTGGTAGCAACTCCATGAGCTTTCTCCATGAGCAGGTTTCTGCCTCATATTCATTGGCTTAGAAATGGTATTTCTAGTTATACTTGGGATGCGCCTTTTGTACTCTTTTTTTTTTTTTTCCATGGAGTATTATTTGTCTGTTATTTTCCTTTATACTGTTCCAGGGTAACAAAGCACAAATGTTTGTAGAAACTTGCATGTGTTTGTTAAGCTCTATCTTTGTGAGTTGCCTGTTGGTCTTTTGGGGATTATTAACAGCTGCAAGGCTAAATACTTTTGCAGGTCTGAAGCTTGATAAGTCAAGCTGTCTCTTGGTATGCATTCCCTGTCCTGTTGGGCTTAAGGTCAGAGCACATATTATTCCAAGATCTCAAAATCAGATCACTACAGGTCAGCTTCATAAATTCTGCAAGTCCATTAAAACAAAAAAAAATAATTGGGTAGTTCTTATGACTTGCCATTTAACTGAGTCCCCATCATGCCAACACCACTCTTAATTAAAACTTAACCTTTCTTTCAAAGCTGTCTTGACTAACTTCCAAGCTTTCTGATATGACTGTTTTCTTGTTTCTCTAATTACTTTCTCTTTTCATGGCTGCCCTATTGGATTTCAAGTTTGGATGTCCAGTTTGTCTGAGACTCCAAAAAAGAGTGTCACTCCAGGTAAATTTTTGTGTCTTGGTGTTCTGCATGCTGTTAAAAAGCGAAGTCTGCTGAAGCTGTTTGTGGTTTTGGAGTTGTCCTGAATGTGAGTCTCTGACAGTGAATATCCAGGATCTGTTGCCTACCTGTGTATTGGGTTTTTCATGTTGCATGACTTCTGATAAGAAAGAGCTTTGCTTTTCTGATTGCTGCCTCGCCTTGGTGTTGCTTCTAGTAGTGAACAGTAGTTTGCTATGTTGTATCTTCCTTACCCAACTCAAAGCCACAATCCAAAGCAGCTGCTGCTCTCGTAGCTTGACTCTGGCCACAGCTGAGAACCTGAACAACTGCTCTCTCGCTATCCCATGTGGGATGGAGGAGAGAACAGGAGCAGAAGTGAGAAATCTTATGGGTCGAGGTAAAGGAGAGAAACATGACTATGTGCTCCTTATTCTTCTGAAACACGATTTTCTTTTCCATGCCAAATAGAAAGAGTTTTTATGGAAAACTCGGGACTCTAAGGAGGGTGCAAAATTCTCATGAGAGCATTGGATTCCTTGTCGCAATGAGTTGTGAAGGAGGAGGGAGCAGGGAGACAACTTCTAGGTGAGATGTCGGGGTCTGGGAAGAATTAGTCCGATATAAGGCAAAGACTAAGCTTTATAGTATAAGCAAACAGGACTTCTCCGAAGTAACCAGTTGATTTCTTCTGCAAACATTTGTCACATTGCATGGAATACCAAGGAAGAGGTATTTTCCTTCAGACTTGGGAAAAATGACGACAAACGATAGACCCTGTGTCTGTACACGATGCAGGCCTGATCACCCAGGAGGTTAAGCTTGTGCCCTGTTCTAAGTATTTGAACAAAATCCCACCATCCTCAGTAGAGTAGTTCTTGCTTGTCAGAGGTTTTTAGTAAGCAAGACGACCACTGTGATTTCAGAAATGTTATCCTTGACAGAAGTTGGATATATCCCTCGGAGAATTCTGTCTGATCTTCACAGATTTCTAATTTCAGGGTGGTAGTTGGATATAAAAGTGCAGAAATACCTGAAACATTCAGTCATGGGAGCCTGGTGGTTGACAGCTCACCAAGGAGTTCAGACAGAGAAACAGAAGGAGAGTCAGCAGGAGTTAAACATGTTGAGGAGGACACTGAAGAGGTGGTGTCATTTGGAAAGAATGACAGGAAGCCCAAGGATTACCTGGCTGGAGGGTGAGGTTGGGTTTCTCTGACTCTCTACATCTGTTGAGACTGTTTAACATTTCTGTATGTAAAATGACAAATTGAATGCCAAGGCTTTAATCTTTCTTGAAGGGCAAGGAAGTTAAATCTTTAATAGATACATATCTCTTCTGCTGACTGCTTTAGCTGAACGGGTGTTGCTAGTTTGGCTTCAAAAAAATTTGTGCATGATGATAGAGCAAAGATTAGTGATTAACTGCATTGCATGGTGCTCGAAGGTGAATGTTCCTGTGTAGTCCTGCTCAGAATTCTTCTGGCAGGTTCTTAGCTCCCCACGTTGTTCCAGTTCACAGAATCACAGAATGTCAGGGGTTGGAAGGGACCTCAAAAGATCATCTAGTCCAGCCCCTCTGCCAGAGCAGGATCACCTACAGTAGATTGCACAGGAATGTGTCCAGGCAGGTTTTGAATGTCTCCAGAGAAGGAGACTGCACAACCTCCCTGGGCAGCCTGTGCCAGTGCTCTGTTACCCTCACAGTGAAAAAGTTTTTCCCAATATTTTTGCGGAACCTCTTATGTTCCAGCTTGTAGCCATTACCCCTTGTCCTGTCATTGGACGCCACTGAAAAGAGCCTGGCTCCGTCCTCCCAACACTCCCCCTTGACGTATTTATAAACATTAATGAGGCCACCCCTCAGCCTCCTCTTCTCCAAGCTAAAGAGACGCAGCTCCTTCAGCCTTTCCTCATAAGGGAGATGTTCCACTCAATCATCTTTGTGGCTGCGCTGGACACTCTCAAGCAGTTCCCTGCCCTTGTTGAACTGAGGGGCCCAGAACTGGACACAATATTCCAGATGTGGCCTCACCAGAGTTCATGTAGCCTTTCAGTTTACTTCTCATCCAAATGAATCTTCGGTTTCCCATACTCTTCAGTCCAGACCTGCTATGGGCTGTATCCTGATGTGGCAGGCTGACAGAGCTGACTTGAATATAAGTATGAACTTTAGCCACAGAGTCCGTATCTGTGCCCTAGGCTGAGGATTGGAGACTAGAACAGAAGCCAGTTTCATGCTGCCTGAGCTCCAGCTCAGGGCACAAACCTGCTCCACTCAGTGCAGACTCTAACCAAGGATTGCAAGTGGTTTAATATCTTACTTTGGAAAAAGAAGGGTATCATGCAGCCACATGCTGAGAGGTGCTGTGGTGGGGCACCAGTTTGGGTCACCCTAACTGCTGTTAAATTCCTTGGCTAGTCCGCTTTGTGCCATGCAGAGTAATGTCAATTGCTGCACCACTGAGCAGGACTAGGGCAACTGCCAGAGTATGTAGTTGACTTGAGCTTTGTGGAAGACCCTGTCTAGCAGCTGTGTAAAAGTCTCCAAGCAGTTTAACAGCTTTGTGTGCAAAATACTTGAGTATTCGTAACTGTTGCTACCTGTAACCTAGTTGGTTGAAACTGCTGTTCAGAGAGCCAACTTTCCATGGAGTGGAAAGAGGACTCAGGGTTTTTTTCCCCTCTTACCCTCCTGCCTCTAATTTTTCTTGGCTCTGCCTTAAAACCTAGGAGATCAAAAATAAAAATAATCAAAAAAAATCCTGAGGCTAACAAACTCTACTTGGCAAAGGTCAGCACTGAATTTCTCTGTGTGTCAGGATTTTGTTGGAAATGCTGATGAGGACTGTAAAGAAGGAAGAACTGAACTGGAGCACTTGCTTGAGAGAGCGCCTGCCATTTACTGTGGGCCAAGCTCACTCCTGACATGCTCCCCATGGGGACTGTGTTTTGCTGCTGATTTTAGCTGTGCATCAGGCACGTACTCCGGTGCTGGAAGCCACAGTCTACCTTAAAGCTACCATTTGTCCCAAACTCTTGAAAGCTTATGCAGATCTTGGTTCTCAGAAGCGCTAGAGAATACTATGCGTGCCTTATGCTGGGAAATGAATCCAAGCATCAGGTTAATTTTCTGCTGCTACAATTGCTGGTTGTATTCCCTTCTTGGTGGCAATGCGTGCTGTTCGCTTGGACTCACTGCAGCTGTTTGTAGCAGCAACCTGGGGAGCCAGGAGGGATTTAATGCAGCTTGTGGAGTTACCACCTATACCAGACTTCTGTATGTATAGCCAGAAAGATAACAAGAAAGACGACAGTTTTAGCTACTTTGCAAGGAAGCTGTTGCACCTGAAAATCTTGCAGAGCACAGGAGCGCTGTGGAGTTGAGGAAAGTGTGTTTACAGATGCTCACTTACAGAGAAACTTCTTGTAAACACAACAGAATTGCTTTACTTTGTAAAAGAGCTGTGTGGCTGAGTTCAGGAAAGAGCTACAAAATAGATAGTGTATTAATAATCCATTTGATAGACATCCAAATATTTACCTTCATCTATACTGAGGCAAAGGGATTTTTGTCAGTACTGTTCTATTGTGAAGACCTGGAGACTAGACCAGACTTCTGTCCCTAAAGCTTTGTGTCTCAGGATTGCTACACCAAGAGCTGTTAGTCTCTGAAGTTAAACGCTGATAAGGTTGGGGGGAGTCCTGTCTAGCAGAAGGGGTGGAGATGAATCCGCTTTCTTATTGCCACAAGCTGTGACTGGCCTTTTACTTCCAAGAATAACTGACATGCAAATAATAGCCTGAATTTTGATTAGTAGGAAGGGGGCTGAAGAATGACAGGCTGGAGTGCAGGAGTATCCAGGAGATGAGTCAAAGGCCTGATTGTTTATCGTGCATTAAGAACAAAAAAACCAACCAACCAAAACTCCAAAATAAAACAACTCTCTCCACCACTGCATAGAAGAGATCCTAGGTGTAGAAAAGTGATTTCGATCTGAATCTGTATTGTCCCCAAGCAGATTTGTAGGAGGCTTCATCAGTCTCATCCCACTGCTCACTCTAGGAACTGGTTATTTCAGGAACTGCTTTTCTGAGACCCCTGTGAGATCACTGAGCTCTTGTGTAATCTCGTGTGCTTTAAATGGTGAAGTCTGGTTTTTATCTTGTGTGCAGCAGACTCTTAACCTAATTTTTAGGCAGACCTAAGCTCTCTATCTTAAAATACTTGGGCGTAGATCAATGATGTAAGGCTCAAATAAACATACTAAAACTGCAGTGTTGTGGGGGTTTTTTTCATAGGGATGTAGTCCTTCTGATAAGAAAGGAAAGAGGTAAAGTTTTTAGAGGAGGAAAATCCTGAGCATATGATTGTTATGAGAGGATAGAGTGATTTGAAGACTTTAAGTAGGCTTGTTGCTATTCTAGGTATTTCTTTCTTTCTTTTGTTTTTCCCTCCTTCCCCAAAAGGAGTTTTCCAGAGATATGTAAAGGCTTACCCTTGAAGAATTGGCTTTAGCAAGAAACCATAGCTCCAAGTTCAAGCTACCACAGTTACTCCTCCCTGTGCACAGAAAAGTGCGAAGCTCAGAGTTTATCATGTGGAAAGCCGTGACACTCAAGGATGCTTTTCGCCACGCGCCCTTGCGCGCAAACCCTGCACGTGTCCTCAGCGGTTGTGCCCAGATTGGAATTGCTGGACTACCTGCCAGTTGGTCGTTCAGCTGTGAATCATCCTTATGGCATTTGCTGACCGTTTCTGTGGTTTTGGCTTCTTCTGCAAAACTTCCACTGACCAGCCCAGTACTAATTCATTTAGTCTGAATATGTAAACACTTGATTGATAATCATAAAAGGGCAATATAAAAGCCTGTGTGCTCTATGGATTAAAGAGCAGACATGTTTATAGCCTGATAACAGCAGAGTATCCTGGCAAGGATCAAGAGTCTCAGATTTCCATATCCAGATGATTTTATTTTTGGAGTCCAGTTGTGGTTTTAATTTTTGGCTATTGCAAAACCATCATAGGTCTTAGCTGTTGCAACACAGGAGGAGGAGGAGGAAGACTGCTGCTTGGAACGGGTGCTCTGGACTCTTATTTAGGAGGCTTTTCACAGTAGTTGCCTGTCTCTGAGTACAGCGGGAGGAAATGATGCTCCCTCCTTGCTGCCTGGTGGTGGGGACAGGGTGCAACTGTGTCACTTAACAGTGCCAGCTGTGAGGAGCATGGGCAAGCTCCAATGACATTCCTGCCCAGCCCCAGGAAGGGAATCACTGAGGTGAGGAACGGGAGGATTGTAAAGTGGAGCCCTATGGAGAGAAGGAGGGGTATCCTCAAGACTTTAACCAGGAAACGGATTCGAGGCAAAAAGAAACGGAGAGGCAAGCAAACTCTTATTTCAGCCAGCGATCTATCGTGTGCTCTGCTCTGGGGAGGGCTTGTACGTTGGAGCTAAGCCAAAACACTAATTCTGCTTTTTGGAGGGAGGAGAGGGAGAAACTTTACCTGGCACATCAGTCTTATCCTGTGCTCTGCTCTCCGTTTGTCCTGCCTGGGCTGAAGAGGCTTTTGAACAAGTGGGGCTGTAATGTCAGGGGGCATCACGGTGTGCATGTGAGCTTGCTGGGGAACTCTTGCCACTCTGCACCCCTGTTCTCTGGCATGCATCACGCCGAGCAGGCTGTTACTCTTCAACGCGATGCTGTGTTCTGGGTTACAAATTAGACCTGAACTAATTGGCAGGGATGTGGAAACTCCCATGGCAGTGAGTGTAATTGGTGCTGTGCTCTCTGTGGTGTTGCCTGACTTGTTCTTTTGAATCTGCTTTGTGGGGGAAATCCTGCAGTCTGGCATAACATACCAGCAATGCAGTGGGCATCCTGAGAGTCGTTGCGAAATAATTCATCTAAAGATGCTTGTGGGGGATGGAAGGCTGGGGAGGGTTAAAGATTTTTACGCTACTGACTGCGCCTGAAGGGAGTGTAGTAACAACCTAAACCAGGCTACCCAGAAAATGTTAAAAAACTTTTGATTACTGAGAGGAGCTTGTTTCTCTAACTTTCCTCCTCTCCTTCCTACTTTCTTTGCGCCTTTACTGTGCACTGAAGTCTTCCCTGCCGTGCAGTGCATAATCCTGGGAGAGCATCATTCCAGGAGCCACGGGGACCCCACCCCTCCAAAGGAGGATACCCTCTAGACATGACATGTAGCTGTAAATGAACAAGTTTGACCTTCATTACCTCCTAGACCAAGGAATTTATCACCGTATTTTTTTTGTCCTAATAGGAACCCTGTGATGCTTATACAAGCATCTGTTAAAACAACCTCTTAATTGTGTATGTTGCACCAGTCACAGTAGTGACAAAGAAATCCTCCTGCAGTGAATACCTTATTTGAGGCCGGAGAGAGTAGAAAGCATTGTAAAGTCCTGCTGAGTTTCGGATGTGTGAGTGCAGGTATAACCTATCTTGTCGGACTGTTGTAAACCCACGTGTGTTGTTTTTTTTGAGGCAGAGTTGTGGAGGTGGATTTGAAGTGCAGCTTCTCCACATTCCCTGGCGAGGGTGCTCCTCTGGCACATGGTCCCTGGCTTGGCCTCGGTGGCTGCCAGCGGTGCGTTTGCCAGCCAGCACTCCAGCCTGGTCTCCTCCTTGTTCCCAGCATGAGCACTGCTCCTGCCACCAAGGCAATGCTGTGTTTGGGTTTCAGTTGTGTTTTTTTCCCCTTTCTCTACTCCTATGAAAACCATCTCAGAGATTATATAAAAAAAGACATTTAGGGCGTCTGTTTAGCAAGTAGATTCCTTTGTGTCCCCTTCTCCTTTTGCCGCTCTTCAGCCCTTCCTTTTGCCTTTCCACACACTGAATTCTCTGCTGACGCACGTGTATAAACATAAGGCCGTGATGGCTTTTGTTTCTGGTTAGAGAACTGGTATTTATCTTAACAAAACTAAAACCAAATAGGGGTTGTAGGTGTTAGCTGGCATAAACAGACTGAAGGAAGATGATAATGCTGCTGCCCCATTCTGGACTGGAGTAGGGAAGCAGTGTGAAACAGGGGAAAGCATCTCATCACACTCTAGGTAACCCATTTAACACTGGTTTAAACCAGAACATGCAAGTCAAGTGATTCATCATGAACAGAAACTGCTTATTCGGAATGAACAGCTATACTGAACATTTTTATTATAAATTTTGGTGTTGTAAGTTCAGAGTCTTCTCCCCCTGTTCCTGCTACTGGCTGTGGTTCAACCCTATATAGAAAAACGAAATCAAACAAACTTCCAGAGGAGATGACTCCTCTTTAAAGAAAATTAACCTGTGTAACCTGAGGAGAGTCAGAGGCACGTTTAGGGAGCAAGGAGGTCTTCTAATTTTCTGGATTTCTTAAATCTGGTCCAAAGGGAGGCATTGTGATAGCGTTTCCTTTCAGGAAACAGTTGAATTAATTGCTTTTAGTTCTAGGATTTTAATTTCACAGGATGCTGTTTTAATGGTCGATGCATTCTTTACCTCTCTCTTGGCAGGGATGCTAATTATTTGTCTGTAGAATCACTTTCCATCTTCAGCTCAAACACGGGTGAACATGCTGCATCTGGAAATACAGTGCTGAGCATCCTGAGCTTGGCTGTCAGTCCCCTGACTTGTCTGGTGGACAGTTTCAAACCGTGCTGCTTCCTTCCCATCTCTTGTAGTAAATTTGTCATCAGAGATTCAGGAGACTTGGAGTCTGCTCCTGGCTCTGCCACTGTCACGTGAAATAGGACTTTCAGCAGCAAGTTGTATATCTGCTTCTGGCTCCCCTTTCCTTCTGTGTGTTAATCTAGAGAGACAGAAACTGCCTCTTAATATGTAAAATGTATAATGTTGGCCCGAACTGCTCTGCCCTAGTACACTTTGCTGTAATTCAGGAAACCTGTGAAATAAGGCATGTTGGCTCTTGGGCAGAAGTTTTAGGTGCTTTTCGCTGTGATCTGACACTGAAGAGTGTCTTAAGTGAGGGCAAATTAAGAAACCCTGATACCCTAAAGCTTGTAATGATTTTTCAAGGCAGTCTCCAGGCAGAGCAGAGTCGGTCTGTGCCTGGGCTTGGGAGCGCAGAGGCCCCTGTCTGCACTGTCTGTGTGGCACCGGAGAACCAAGATGCATCTCACATGGAAAGCAGCAGCGTGAGGAGGTGTCCCTCCCTCCACATCTGGCAAAGTGGTGTGCCTGCCTTGCTGCTCCACCCCGAAATGCACTGATTTCGTTTTGGGAGTGCAAAAGTCAGAAATCAAAATAAATTCCAAAAGAGACTCCAGGATGGGGGGGCCGGAAGGGAGAAGAATGGTTATTTCGCACCTCTTTTCATCCCTGTTTGCGTGAGAGCCTACTCTCCTTCATACGTGGTTCTGACCGCTGAAAGCCCTCAATACGAAGAGAAACCAAACAACTGGAGAGGTTGGCTTCAAGGGCTCCAAAACGGCGCCGAAGGGCGCTGGAGAGGGGGAAGCCGGAGAAACTGTGCCCCTGTCCTGCTTGGGGCTGCTCTGCCATGGGGAATGCGGAACTGTGAAGCTGGCGGGGGGCAGGCGGGGGGTGGCCCTGTTTGAGCAAGGATCTGGCGCTATAACTTTTTCTTTTTTTTTTCTTCTTCTGTTTCAAGTAAACACTCTTCCCCGCCCTCCCCTTTCTCCCTCCACCCCACCTCCCTCTCTTTCAGTCCTGCTCATGTGTTTCTATTTAAGGGCTGCAGTGCAGACGAATATGATTGGCATCTACAGCCCCCTCTTGACTTTCAGCTCAAGCCTTTAGAGTGGAGAAGGAGCTGAGCCGGCAAGGGGAGAGCTGTTTTTTTCTTTGGGTTTACTGTGGGGATGGCTCAGCTGTGGATTTATGCTGCTTCTGCCTAGGATTTTTCCCTCTGAATGGGAGCAAGGATTGTGGAAACCATGTTGGGAAGAGGTTTATTTTCAGAATCCATCATGAAACTTTGCAACTAATTCACTGTTTTTGGCTCCTTTACATATTTTTTTTTTCCTCCCCTTTTTTCTTTTTCTTCTCTCCAATGTCCCTCTGTGCTGCTGGGTTGTGGGCCAGAGGAGGCTGTTTCTATATGGCCAGCCATTTGGGGATATGCTGCGAGCCAAGGTTGTTTGCTGATTCGCTTGGCTCTGGTGACAAGTTGGCCTGTCGTGAATCGGATGGACGGAGGTCGCTCTCAAGGAGCCATGGCTGGAAGCTGGCTTACGGCTTGCTTTTTCCCTTCCCCAGGTGCTGATGCTAGCTCTGAACCCATGATCCTGGAGCAATATGTGGTGGTGTCCAATTATGAGAAGCAGGAGAACTCCGAGATCAGCCTCCAGGCTGGAGAGGTGGTGGATGTCATAGAGAAAAACGAAAGTGGTAAGACACATTTTGCTGCTTTTATGTCTTCCAATGGTCTGATTTTTGCATGTGTTCCTCCTCTTTCGGTTTCCTCATCACTACTTGTAGCTGTACGTTAGCTCCATCTGGTACAGTTACTATGTCTGGCTGAGGATGTTGAAGTTTCTCAATGTTGATTTGGGCTGGGGGCCAAATGTTGCCTTCTACTGTAAGAATGTTTCATAGGTTTTGTGTGTTAATTAGCCAAAGTACACTAATGGAAAATGAAGGTGAAGGAGAAAAAGATCTGCAGCTAATGAAGCTGATGTATAGTAGACTGATAGAGTTGCCTCACTGTCTCTTCAGGTCTCTGTCAGCATTTCCATTACTAACTGCCTTTTCAGAGGATTTATAGGTTGAGTGTTTAAAAATTGCTTGGGATAAAACTTGGCTTGACAGCTTAGCCCGTGGCCCAGAGCTTGGTAGGGAGGGGAGAGAATGTACGTAGATAAATATGTGGCCATGCACAGTTTCAGATCTTGCAGAAGTGTTAATTGGGGAATTTTGAGGCAAGGAGGCAGAGGCTGACATGTAAAAGCAAGATGAAATCTCTTATTCTGCTATCTGTGGAACAACCAGCTTCCACTTGGAAAATAAGATTTTTGGCAAGTATTTGTTTAGATGTCTTTTGTGTACTTTAACTCTTGGATGCCTGGTACCTTTGAGTGAGGCTGAGCAAACGCGGGAGATTGTGTACATGTGAGTGGTTGGAGCGGGTTAGCAGCTGGTTTGAATAACTGCCTGTCTAATGCAGCTCCCCCTCCTCCGCTCCAGTGCTCCTCTTGTATTAATCCAGAGCTGTTGTCCAGGACTGCTTTCCAGCCCACTCGTGACTCGTGTGTCCTCATCCAGAGGAGCTGATGGCATTTGGAGCCTTTCAAGAGAAGGCTCACGTTGTGGCAGCTCCTCACGCAGGGCTCTCATGACTGGCTGGCTCTGGAGTGTGCTGGACCTGCCAGAGGTTGGGGGAACCAGGGCACCCTGATCTGGGACTCAAATCCATCTTCCAGAGCTCTGAGTCAGGTTATCCACAATGATGAGCATGCATTGTTTTGTTGGGTTTTTCTTTTTTTTTTATTTGTTTCTTCTTTTAATAGAGTGGTAATTTCTGTGCTGTATGAAAGCCCAGCACTTGTTTGGCTCAAAGTGATGCAGTCGGTTGCTGGCCAGTGATGTAGTAAGATGTCCAAAAGGATAGTGTGTGGAAATGCACTGACTAATGTGGACAGAAGTGTCTGTCTCCTGGGTACTGACTGTATCACTTGCAAAACTAGTAGAGGTCAAAATGCTCATCTGCCCCACTTTAAAGCAATCGTTATGACTGAAGGGGGAAAAAATGTCTTAACTTCTTAAACTGTGTCTGGGCTAGTGGGCAGGCATCCTCCCTTCCAAGCCCGAGGGCTCCTCATTGTCAATAGTGTGTGTGACTGCTGTCAGAACTGCCTGGTTATTGTGGCAACTTATATTCATATCCGTGGCATCCCTGTCTTCAATAATGGCTTATGGAGCCAAGGGGATTGAGCTGTTAAAAAATGCAAGAAGTGTCTGAATTCCAAATTACAGTTCCTTTGTGTTTTCTTCTTATGTGGCCTCTCTGCCTTGCACACTTCACATCATGTTGTGTTGAACCACATGGTCTGTGGAGATATAAATGGAGAGTGTCAGGGTTTGAATTTAATTAGTGGGTCCAGAAATTTGACTCTTCTAAGGAGACATCTTTGAATTTTGATTACAATGCTTAAAACCATAGTCTGATGCTAAGCAGCCAGATTTCTTAATATCCATGTAAATAAGGAAGGAAATCTGAAGCCCTGAACTCCATGCATGATCTTGCCCTTTATATATATACACACATGTATAAAATAAAGGTGTAGATCCGTATTTTTAAAAAAGTGCTTAAGTCACAGATTGGTGATGGAGAGAGCATCATTTGTTTTGGATGCTTGTCTAAACTATTCTGGCAAGGAAATGGTGTTTTAGTTTTTCCAAGAACAGGACTCCAAACATACACTGTCACTCCCTATCCTAGGTTAAGGTTACCACAGGAATTAATTTTAAAATCTTATCTCTTCAGCTATAGCCGAACCTATGAATGGCACGTAATGAAACTAGCAAAAGTTTCTGAAGTGTCAGCTTTTAAAACTTGTGAGTTATTGTTTGAATTTGGGTATCTGGTCATTGTAGACAAGCAAGCCTAGAAGATGTGGTTATGACTTCTAAGAGCATGGGGGGATATACTTTTCAAGAAAATCAGATTATTGGACTTGCACACATGTGGAATAATTCATCTGACTGTATGGTTATGTTGACTTGATAGATGTTGTGAAACTATAGCTGTGAATGTGTAAAGTGAGCTTGTTCTTCACCTTTGTCTGTCTGGATCAGGAGATGTAAGGTGTTAAGGATGTCACTGGCGGCAGGGACAGTTCCTTCAGTGAGAGGAAGGAAGGAAGGATGGCTAGATAGCTGGTTGGCTCTGTGGCTGAGAAGTCCCATCAGACTGGACAGGGTGCAATGAATGTGCTGCTGGGACAATACCTCAGACTTCCTTGTGTGTACATATGTGTATAGCATATCATATGTCTGGTTTGGTGGGGTTTTTTGAACTGTTCTTTGGGGAAGCTAGATCTCAAAAGGCATAGATAACCGACTGATTTTAAAACCTTGCCTGTGTAGGGCTGCTTCCTACTGCCCAGGGACATTTAAATGTTTCTTGTTTTTTTCCTGGAGTGGGAAAAACCTTAACTTGGGTTTGTATGGAAGAAACACCTTCCCTTCCTACTGGTCAAATGGTCCTGTGCTTTTTACACAAGAAAGCTCAAAACTAGTTTCTAAACAGTGGTGCCTATTTCATGTTGTGCTGGATGTCTTCTTCTGAATGCTTCTAGGACCTGAGCTAGAATTATCATCTCCTCTGATGTTTGCCTCCAGATTGTGTACCCCCCGAAAGGAAGTTACCTCTGATTTTAAAGGCCAGTGTACAGGGCAGAGGTAGAAGGGTGGAAAAAAAAACAACCCACCTGGTATTTATCTGGTTATCATCAAGCTATGCTGACTTCATCTTAAGTGTGTTGTATTTACTGTATAGTATTCAGTGTCACTTTCTCCATATAAGAGTGGTATTTAAGGTGTCTTGCAGGCAGATATGTGTAAGACCATTTGATAGGAGCTTGTCTCAGATTTCTACTGAAAGAGTTGGGTAAGATTGTCTTCATTATTGTGCCAATGAAAGTTGTGACTTGGACATCATCTGAAGTTGAAACTTCAGTATTATGACCTAAGGCAAGGTCAGTGAAGCATGTGTGGTGAATCATTTTTGAAATCCTTCATTTTGGTTATGAAGCCCATGGGTCACTGTAACCTAACTGTTGCTGCAGTTGCCACAGAAGCAAACCTTGCTAGATGAAAAGAAATCTGTAGGTTTTCTGTACTTCAGAACAAATTATTTAGTAATGTACCAGCTCTCAGATTTTGGCACTTGTTTTTTCCAGCAGATCTTGGCTTGACAAAAAATGGTCCAGTAGTGTGCCTGATAGGTGTTTTTCTTTTATTCCTGAGCTGAGGAGGAAAATCTACATGTAACAATGGTCACAAATACTTCAGAAGAAAACCAGGTTTACTGTCTTTACAGATGGTGTCTGAGAACAGAACGTAGTTACAGGACTTGTGTTGCTTGCTAGAAGTGGCTGTGATTTGTTTAAAGGCACTGTGTAACCAGCCTACACTGTCCAACACTATCTAAACATTTCTGAGTTGTTTCAGAATAACAAGGTGAATAGTTGACTCAAGTCTTGTCTGTCAAGTACATATGCTTCTTTTAAACCCTAACCAAAAAAAGCCTTGTCGAATGACTTAAAAATGTATTTCTGCTGTTGTGACTTTAAAGCAGGAATCCCAACACAGATTTCTTTAAGGTGGAAGGGAGAGGGACTGGGCCAAAGCAGCTCCCCCTCTGCCAAGTTTTGCGTGGATGTGGCTTGAAATGGTCAAGCTACAAACTGTGGCGGCAGTGTTTGCAATGGAAAACCTGACAGATGGTGAAGTGTAAGTGCACTCCCAAGCACCTCTGCCTCTGCTGCAGCTCTGCTCGCAGGCATGGCAAGCGCTCTTCCCTTGCAGCCCCGCAGTCTGCGGTGGAGGCATCGTGGGATGGCGTTTTCAGCTGGGCTGAGCAGGACCATAGCCATTTCCTTTGCAATTACATAACTCTACACTAATTTCCAATATTATTTTACATGCAATACGTAAAGCAAAGCTATTATGACTAGCGTAACTTTATCAGGACCCAAAGGGATCTCTGGGAAAAGAAGGCTGCTCTTCTCTCTGTAGCTGGGCTGGGGGACATGGCCCTGAAGAATCACGATAAAGAAGACCTCTGCTCACCTGGGTGCCCTGGCTTAGGGTACTTAGGTCTTGCTGGTTTTCTACACAATGCCAGAAGACTAGTGCGTGCCTGGCAGTGTGCTCTGCTACAGCATTTGGTTTCACGTGTGTTGCTTACTGACTGCAGTCATGATCTAGGAGAGGGACATGAAGAGGCCACAGGTCTCTTGAAACTGACTGCTGAGGGTGCACTGTCTTCCCTATCACAAATTCTCTCCTTTTAGATTGAGGGCTTGCTGAGTTGGGCTTCTGCCTCTTCATGGGGAATACAGCACCCTCTATTTGAAGGCGTTGCTTTCCAGAGTTAAGTAAGTAGTTTTACTTGGTACCAAATTGGGCCAAGAGTACTGTTATGGTTAACCACTGCATCTTGACTAAAGGTGTAGCTTAAAGTGTTCCAGGTAGAAACAGAGAAATAAATTTTCTTGCAACTCACGGATCAATCTTTGATGCCTGTATCCCCTCTGCCATGCCTGGTTTTGAAAGTAGCAAAACTTAGTGTTGATGGGATTTTGTTTTAAATTCTGTAAAGACCACTGTTCCTGTCTTGCGTCTCCTTTCTGCTGCTCTGCCCCTTTCTTCAGGTTGATGTTGTC